CAATCAAACATTTTTCTCAGCGTATGAACTGCTACGTCGCTAAGTCCGCATAGAAAAAAAAAAATCAATCTTAAATTAAGGTTATATATTCTCATATGTGAGCGAGAATATAATTTTCTTAAAAAAGTTTAATCTTGATTCGATAGAATTTGTATTGTATTGAATTATATATGAGAATGTCTTGGTTTAAGTTTAACTTTTTTTTGTATGCTCTAAAAACAATGTCATGTGGTTGCGATATAATTATCTTAAATTTACATAGATAAAGATTAAAAAGAAAAATTTGATGTTTAAGATCCTATCTATCGAGTGATGCCATTTGATATCCTGATCTTTGAAACTTATCTCGGCTTATCACATTGATTGTTTATTCATTTCTTTCTTTTGGAATAGATACATGGAAGTGAGTACATGTAATCAGGGTCGAGAGAGTAAGGATCTTTGAGTTAAAAAGAAAAACTAGAGTAAAAAATATAAAAAGCGTTTTATTTATAAATATATATTATTATTGTAAATATATTATTATTGTAATCTCCAATCGCCGACGACATGAGATCGAGATAAAAAAAATATAAAAAGTAGAAAAAAATTAATTTTTTTATTTTTTTTTTTTTTTTCTTATAAGGTACTATTTTAAGTAAAATGGTTGCATAATTTAATTTTAGTATAAACAACGTGTAAAATAAATTGCGACGCTCTAAATTTATATCTGCATTTAAATATGTTTATGCGTGTTATAAGTTTATCTTTTTATGGGAGAGATTGTTTTTAAAAGCCTATAGCACGTAATTCGCAATTTCTCATCGCGATGAATGAAAGATTGGGATCTCTACAGCAATTAAATTGCTTTCCTTATGTTCATATTATTACATACTGACTATATGCGCCTTATCTTTTTATATGCGAAATTTTTAACACGCGGAACAACATGGTCGCCGTCGTGCATGTGCACCTACGTTACGCAGTTACTTGGCTCGGCCATGCCAAGGTTGGGGAACCTTATCTAAGCTTCAGGGTGTTTGACCCAACTGGGAAAACACATTGGCACTCCGGTGGCTTTGCATCGGTCGCTCGCGAATCACTTAAAGCGTCATTCACAATTGGCTTTTCTTATCGACCGTGACGGCATAAAACTGCGCGGACTTATTACTTATCGTTGCGAAAATGGAATGCCGATATTAAGTCTCAAAAAATCGTAGAAGAATCGTAGAACTACAATCCTCTTTTACATCTCAATTATCTCGAAATGTATTTTATCTCGATAAAAAAGATCAATTTTGATTTTTATGAAGCTTTATGAAGCTCTCGATATCGAGAAAAATAAAATTCTTTGTTTTTTTTTTTTTCTATGGATTAATTAATAAAATGTTATTTTGGCTTTAGCCGAGAAACTTTAAATTTATTTTACTAAAGCACAAAAAAAAACCTAAAGCGCTTTAACTTGCACTCTTAATAATTTAAGCATAAATTAAAGCATCTTAAGTGTCGCTTTTGCTTTGGTACGATAAATTTGAAGCTTCATGTTTTGGTTAAAGTTAAAATAACGTGCAATCGAGTTCAAAATGAATAAAATAAATCTCTCCGTGCTTTGAGTGTATTTCTTCGCGTCGGGAGTAAAAGCGTAATTTCCTTGGAATTTTCTTTAACGCGGATATTCCGATTCCGTCGTTGCGCGTCAGAATGTAGTCAACGCTAAATTCAACGGCGGAGAAAACAGCCTTCTCGCCGCCGGAATCGTATGCGTCGCACGAAAACGCGGCGGATATAAATCGCGCCGGATTAATTTTACGAACGTAGAATATCGGGCCGATCAAAACAACATCCCCCTCGGCCGACCTCTTCGCGACGTGTATGCGCGTCGGGGGCGAAGTCGGAAGGCCGCCGGGCATTATTCTTGCGGATCGCGACTCGGGGCGCGTCGATAAGTAATTGCATCCAATCTCCCTGGAATTCGCTTTTGGGCAGGAACGGCATGTCGGCCGTATCCTGCTTCTCTCCTCTCGCGATTACGCTTCTTCCGTGTCTCCTTCTCCACCCGACTCCCGTCGAAATTTATTATCAGGGAGACGACTCGCGGAAGCCTCCCCCCGATGATTTACGAACGCTCCCCCCGTGCGCTTTCGCGAGCACTCGCGGCTTCTTTTTCCTTTTTGACAATCGACATTTACTCCCGGCGCCTCGCGACGCCGACCCGCGATTTCGGGCGCGCGCGCAAGTCATTATCTCTAAAACGCTATTTATAATTAATAATTGATTTTCATAATAATACAAAGAAAGATTTCACGCAACTCGCGCGAGTCATCCTCACTGCGCATCTCTCTCTCTTTCTCTCTCGATTATTTTCATAATATCCCGATCATATTTTTCTCTTTTTTTTCTTGCGTTTCGATACACGTATCCCCTTCTCGCAATTGCTGTGCTTTGTCCGCTTTTATGTCCGCGGATTATGATTTTAGTCTCTTATCTTGCAGAACGTATATATGCGCATTCCGTCAAGAGCGGCGATGAGACGGTAGCGCGCGGCAGTACCGCGGCAGCGGCGATGGTATCGCATTCCGAACGAGACTCCAGACACTTTAGCCGACGCGTGTCTCGGGAGGACGGCGCGCGTTATTTTTCTCCTATCCGTGTTTACATACGCTCCCGTGCAAACACCTTGCCCGTATCGTTCCGCGCGGTGATTGGTATGCGGCTGGGAAGGTCGACACTCGAGATCTGCGTACGCTGCGAACGATAAATATCTGCGACCGATTCCGCGCTAGTCATTACGCGGATCTTTTCCGATCGCGCGCGACCGCGCGCGAGAGAGAGAGAGAGAGAGAGAGAGAGAGAGAGAGAGAGAGCTTATTTATTATTTTATTCACAACGCTGTCTGTGTAACTACGCGCGTATGCGACGTTCAACCTTAATAGTTGTTTAATTTACAAAAGAAAGAAAATAGGAAAATAAAATAGCAAATTTAATTATAATAAATATGTTAAAATTGAAATTAAATTTCCCAACACACAGACGAGACATGATTTGTGTTTTATTTTTATATCAAAGACGCATTAACGACATCTATCGAAAAAGCATGTAAAAGTCTGTATCGTCCTAAAAAAATTTTTAGCGAATTAAAATTATCTCTTTTCTTTAGCGGTGCAAAGGACAGCGAGTAATTCTCGCCGCTTCATTGAGAGAGGTTTTTCTTAACCGAGCCGAGGTCCTTGGAAACAAGAGCGATTATGAAAATAAAAGGCTCGCGGATGTGTACGTCTCTATAAAGAGAGCCAGACGTGAAATAATTCGTCCGGTGTCTCTATCTCGGCGCGCAGAAACGAGGGCATCTTAAGAGCGGCAAGCTGCAGTCAATTCCGTAATTGCTTCTTTATCGTGATCTTCAGAGAAGCGACAGAATTGCTTTATTACAGGGCTTTCAGTCTGCTTCCAATTTTCCGAGCCACATGCGCCGCTCGCGTCGTCTCCGCCGTGGCGTGGCCTACATTTAGTGACTGCATTTATTGTATCGTCTGTATATTGGCCGCCGCGGGGGATGCATCTCCGCACCGCACCCGCGATTCCTGGATACCGATCGTGTAACTTTTTCTTTAGGGCGGAAACGTAAGAGGTGAAAATTTTTTCCATTATTTTCGATAATAAAAATTTTTTGCCTTGGGGAAAAAGTTATATGATCGCTTGCTGGCTGGATTTGTTTCCTCTTCAACGAGTTTATTCCCCGTTTTACTTCAACAGGGTGTGTTTACTGGAAAAATCTGGAATTCTCAAAGAATTTATTTATATCTTAAAAAAACCATAAAATTTCTCAGAGAATTTTATTAAAAATTAAGGAATTTGAGAAATTGCTTTTTCTAATATTTTGTCGACGGAATTATTAACGACAGTAGATCCATTCATTCCAAATATCAAAGCACACTGATTTCACGATGAATCCAATATTCAGTATTAAAAACACAACGAATTCGTGTTAAACACAATTTTATTTAATAAAAACGAATATTTATTTTGATAGTTTTATAAAAATTATATTTTGTAAAATTTGAAAATGTTATGCAACAAAAAGTATTTATTTCTTGGAGTTCCTTCTTTATAATTTCTTTTGAAATTTTTTACATTTAATTATTGAAACTCGAGTGATTTTTAATTTTATTTTATGATTCCTAAATTTTTATGAATAGAAAATATTAAGAACTTTGCACAATAAATATATATTTATTTGTAAGATACATTTAAAAATACTTTGTTTTTTACCTGGAAATTTTAACAAATTGCCTTGAAAATCAGGGATTTCTCGGAAAATTTTTTTGGAGCAGGCACCCCGCTCAACACACCGAGAATTTCGTCAGTGAAACGCTCGGCCCGTGTTAAATTAAAACACGGGCTCCATCGTCTGTCCGATTTCTGCACACTCGAAACTCGCGAAATCTTCCTGGCACATCGATCATTTGGAACTTGAAAACAAGCCTACCTCTCGGCGTTCGCCCCGAAACGAAAGAGCTATATTATTTTTCTTTTTTCTCATACACGATTTCCTATATTCCAAGTGATTTTCAGCAAACAAGGCAGCTCTGCCTCTCGGGACACCCTGTACATCCGGCGTATCTACCTCGCAGTTGATTTCGCGCTTCTGGTCCGCGGTGCGATAACTCGATGGGGCATGAAACGCTCGGCGCAGCGGCGGCCAGAAACTGTTAAAAGACTGCAGACGATCGCAGATAAACATGAAAATTCGACGGCGACGACGTCGACGTCGACGACGGCGACGGCGACGGCGACGGCGACGGCGGGCGACGCGACAGGCGTCCTTGCTCCAACCACTCGCGCTACTACCGATGACGTAATCGTCGCGATACCCCGCAATCTTGGCGCCGCGGTAAACTCGTAATATCTATTTTTATCTGTAGTGGAAGCAAGGGGCCCCCCGATTCCCGCCCGCCGCCGCCACCGCCGCCGCCGCCACCGCCGCCGCCGTTGCCGTTGCCGCCGCCTGCGCCCCATCTTTCTCTTTCTCTTTCTCGTGTGTGACGATACGCTCTACGACATGCACGCCAGCTCGTCGTTCGGAGCCGCACGGAGAGAGCCAAGCCAAGCCGGAGCCAAGCCCCGAGATGTCCGAGAGCGGGGCCTCGAGATCGAACGATGTTTATTACGGTCGCGATAAAGCTGTTTTCGGTCGCGCCTCGAGCGTGTTTTCGCGCTCTCGCGCGAGCCTCCGATCCGAACGAACGGATCTCTCTTGGAGTCTTCCACGGTCCGCCTCCACGGTCTGAGCGTTTTACCGATCATCGGCAAGGAACTGCCGAGCAGGAGATCGTCTTCGACGGCTGTGCACTAGGTGACGCGAAAATTTGCTCGCTCGTGAAATCCGTATCGCGTTTCGCGATGTAGGAGCGTCGTGACGCAGCGGAGCATTAGGAGGAGTGTGGGGATTTGTGTCGAAATGTTTAATTGGCGATAATTTTCCCGTAACAGAATCGTGCGAACAAAGTTGCCTTTAACGAATTTATATACGCGAAGCTAAATCTAACGCGTGTCACATATTATTGCCCACTCGTTCAACATTGCGCATGAAAAGTTACATGAACATGGTTTGCCAATCGTCTCGCGAACCGCCCAACTTTTTTGTATTATTCCTAAATACGAGAGTAATTTGTAAAAGTTTTTAATATTTTTTTTCATTGTGAATGTAAAAATAATAAAAATAGATATAGTACATCCTTAAGTTTGAGATGGACTTGAATTTCATGTCACGCAACATATCTACTCTATCCCCAACTGCGTGATGTAAAATTTTAAATCGATAAAATTAGAATAAAGTAATAATAATAACTTTTGAAGCGCAGTGATATGTGCAACGTCATCACTAATATCCACTTTTACCAATGTAGATTAATTTTTATCCCGATTTAATTTTACCTTTTCTTTTTCTTTAATTCTCTCTTTAAGAGTTGGAAAAATAAACGAGACTCGAAGTTGAGGTTAATTTACATCGATCGGAGACGAGCGTGAAACCATAATACTGCCGAATACTGCTTATGTTAACCCAAGTCATTGTATTCTGGGCTCGGAACAAATCGGCACTCAACGTTGCACCACCGTGCGGTCGGTCCCACCTTGCGTCTTCCTCCGGCTGAATTCTTATTTCGCGACGTCCGGCCTGTAGGATCCTGGCACCGATCCCAGTGGCTGACGACGCCACTGGGAGACGCCGCAATAGTAAAAAGCGTGGGATTTTTCCTTGGTGTCTCTTTGTAAAGCCACCCGCGGCTTCTCCAAACCTCTTTATCCGAAAAGACCTCGTTAGAGAAAAATCTGAAAAAGGCCCTTTGCGACGTGCGGCAGATATACATATTTGAATAATCGTGTATCGATGTTAAACGAAAGTTATTATTCTTAAATAAACACAGAAAGATTGGGCAAAAGATTATATAATAAGGCTTTAGATTATATTTTTTTGAATGAACTTCGAATGCAGTGATTATTATTTAAAAATGTCCAAGAATTTCCTTACACGCATTAAGTATTCAACGCGTTTATATATCATATCTTTTTTTTTACTTATTTAATTATATAAAATATACTTTTATTACATTACATTAAACTTTATTTTTTAACAAAATTAAAAAAAATTTTTTTTAAATATTATACGTGATATAATTGGATCGCAATGGATCGTTTGATATACGAAGCATCGCAATCTCAATAATCTTAATATTTTAAACGTTTCGATTTTTTTCTATTTGCAGGTGAGACAGGACAGAGGGAATGGTGTACTCTGGCGTACTGGGAATTGGGTGGCCGAGTCGGTCGTCTCTATCCCGTGGAACCATCGACGGTGAACGTCTTCGATTCTCTCCACGACGGCGATGGTCTTTGCTTGGCAACTTTGGCCGAGAATCACAATGCGCCACCTGCGGTCCAGCGTACGCGCAGCAAAATCGGCCTCGGTGAGAATCCTATCCTTCTCAATGAGTGCCGATGCACGCGTGAAATGAAATTTTACTCTGTTTTACTGAGCCCAAAAAGATGTAGACATTTATTTTGCCAAGGAATCACGAGTTCATACGAGTTTGTCTCTCGATAAAAATTAAATTGAAATTAATAATCTTGAAATTTTTCTTCTCAGATATGCCAGACAATCCTGTCTTACGGTAAAGAGAAAATTCATATGCTTGAACGCACAAATTAAATTCACAGCAAAAGATATGTGCAAGAGAATTTCAAATCAATTTTTTATAGATACAAATTAATATTGTTCCTCTAAAAGTATGTGAGAACGTACCGATTTGAAGAATCCCAAGAATGAATAAAGGAAATCTTATTTCTTTGTCGCAGGATTAACGCTCAGCCAGGAAGCGGACGGTGTCTGGGCGTACAATCGATCGGAGAATCCGATCTTCGTGAACTCGCCTACCCTGGATGATCCGGAATCGAGGACACTACTAGTTTACCGGGTGCCGTCGGGTTTCTGTCTCAACATCTTTGACCGCGCCAAAATCCTGCAGCTTCCATACGGCGGCAGCGGCGGCGGTCAGGCCGCCGGCTTCACCGCCTCCGGTCCCGTCGACATAAACTCCGTCCGCATCAGCTTCGCCAAGGGTTGGGGACCCAAGTACTCGCGGCAGGAAGTTACTTCCTGCCCGTGCTGGCTCGAGATACTCTTAGCGCCGTGCAGGTGATCATCCCCAAGGCTGGCCGGGCTGAAGGATATCGTCAAGCCTCGTCCTCAATTCGCGCCTCTTCCTCTTCCTCATCGTCGTCATCGCCGTTGTTGTTTTCGGAGAGGATCGGTGATAATGATGCAGCGACCGTGGCCTTTAGCTCCGTCCTAACGAGAGCTGTGTTAATAATAAATAAATGAAAGGAACACGTGTGTGTGTGTGTGCCGGGGGCGATCCTCAGAGGCACGCGTGCCCGGGATCGCCCCAACAAACCCCAGCAGTCTTACCAAAGTACACGCCGTAAAAAACAAAGTAATACGTTTACGGGACAATGTCGCGTTCCGTTTCGTCAGTAGAACGAAAGATCGGAATGAACAGAGATCGTTCGCGAGCGTATTCATCGAGCGCGCACGAACGGAGAGATTCACATCGAGATTAACACAAGTGGTACTTAGAATTTTTGCGAGCATGCATGTTTGATTTGTGTAATTCTCTTTCTTTTTCTTTATTTTATTTTTTTCATTGTTTAGACGTCGATGCTATTTTCGAGATTCGTGTGGGAGAATTTTCGATAAAGGAAGCGAAGAGAATCTTGGAGCTTCCGATAGGTCTAGTCACTTGTGTTTATTGTCTTCGCGCGTCGACTCGCGAATTTCGCGGATGCGTGGATTCTGAATTCAGGGCATGGCAGGGAAAATTTTTAGCTTTATAAAAATGTAACACAAAGCGAAGAATAATAACATCGACAAAAAAGAAAGATGCGTCTCCTTTCTAGAAAAAAGATTATATATATATATATTTAAATTAATCGTGCAATCTTTATAATTTGTATAAAGATTTTAAAATCTTTAGGATATTTCTCATTACTTTAAATGTATAAAAAGCGAATGGAATTTTAAATAATATAAATATTCATGTAAATATTGATCAGTTTTTATTCATAACTTTTTTTATTAATTCGATTAAATTTGTTTATTAATTTTAATTTTAAAATCGTGTGCAAATCTATTGCAATATTATGAATTCTATGACGAGTATTAAGTCACGAAAGGGCAGTACCAAATTTGAATGGTCGCAATCGACTTGAACTGAAAGCTCCGACGTGCCACGAGTCCCGGATGTGTTTTCTCCGATCGTCGTTCGGTGCTGTACACACATACGTATAGTATATGTACATACACTGTGCCTTCCCAGCTTCCCTCCTTGGTGCAGCGCGTACTCTTGGGAAACAAAAGTGCGCTACGTGCCAAGCTCGTACCGCACGAAAAAGAAAAAAAAATGACGCCTCCTCCTCATCCGGAGCTATGTACTACAGTAATACGATGTACTGTGATAAGAGTTCAACGCGAGTCTTTTCTTTCTTCCTTTTTTTACGATGGCGAAGCAACAGAAAGAGAGATAGGTAGAGAAACAAAGCAAAGCATACGTTCGTGTATGATGAATTAACTTGCGAGGGAGATTCTGTACGTCGGAACGAAGTGTCATTGAGGTTCGAGGATCATCTGGTTCTCGAAACTTTTCGACCATGATAAAAAGTAGACTTCTGCTAAGAACGCCTCTGATTTCCGACATGCGGAAACTTTCCTCGAACAGATTGTACATGCGAACGGTTCTTTTTTATTATAGTATATATATATATATATATATACTCTGTAGATATATACGAATGAACTTGAAAGAAGGAAAGAGCAGTGTTCAGAACACTGTGTTCAGAACAATGTGTTTAAATGCATATAATGTAACATGTACCAGTCATACGTATTCATTTTACGCGCGTACACGACACACGTACACACATACATATTATACAAACGACTGATCGACCTGTAAGTTTTTTCGACCATTAATTTACTTTCGTACTACCGCTTTTATCGACGTAAAAGTGGCCGTTACTTTGTAATAACGATCGAATGGATTGAGAGAGCTACTAGAATGATATATTGTGATGCGTATACGCTGCTTAAATGTTATATATTGATATGTATACAGAGACGTATACAACAAGATGTTCATAGGTAGCTGTAGTAGTCTACTGTAACTGTAGTAGTCTACTGTGTGACAGGGAGAGAAAGGAAGATTGAAAGAGAAAGAGTAACAGTCGGGTTGGATCATCGGCGAAAATAATTGTAACGAGGAATAAGAGAATGTCCGTCGGCGGATTGTTCACTTTGAATGAGTCCGACTTGCTCTTCGTAGTTCCTTTTTTCTGTTGGTCCGGACACGTTGTTGTCGGGAATGAGTTGTGGACCATCTATTCTTTTGTGACGCAATTAAAAACGAGAGCGGCATTCCGTGCCGAACTTTGGAATGCGTTTAAGACGGCGTCACATGCTTCTATACGCGCGACGTAAGACAGCATTTGATGATTTACGAGATGCGTATTCTCGAAGGAATTTGATTACGAGTAACTTAAGCTGTCTTAATGTTTTAGCGAGCTTCAGGTACGAATATATGACGTTCGTATTTTTATGTTCTTCGGTTCACATTAAATTCGCAATAAGTCGAGAAAATGACCGATAAGAATAATTTTTTTTTAAATGAAATATAAAAATTCATTGCAGAGAGACGATGAATCAATTTAACGATAGTGAATGTAATTTGTATCGATTTGCAGACGCAACCGCGCAGATCACCATCATACAATGTAATATGCGTAATGATTCATGCAGATATTCGTATCTCCTTGTGCTCGTTTTTAAGCCTCGCTCAAGCATCCGAAAGACAGCTCACGCGGTCGTCGCGCGTTAGGAACAAAAAGGAACTTATGAAGGCGGTGCTCTAAAATTAATGGTAGGACAGTCCTACGTAAATACTACTACGGAGACGGCTTCTCTTCTTCCTCTGCGATATGTCCGTCGCAATAAATGCGGGAACCGCCTCGGGAATTTCTGGAGAGAAACTGTTGCAAAAATCGTGTAATATAAATTTTAAAAACAAAAAAAAAATACGAAAGGAGAAAATGCAGATCTACGCTTGCAGAAAGTCTAATAGTAAACTTGCAATAATAAATCCGTTTGAATAATGAATTACTAGAGAGAAAGAGAGAGAGAAGTGAAAAAGTAAGCACTACATTTATTTCGTGATATTTTTTTTCTGTCGAATCTTTTATGTCTCTGAGTGGATTAAAATTTTGTGACGTTTCGTTTCTGCCGGTTTGACAATGACAATGATTTCTGTATAGTGTAATAGAATGCTATCATTATGATTGTGTTTTCTGTATCGCTGTTAAATCTCGCCGATATTTTTCATATCGCTCTGCCTTTCGTCTTTTTTTGTTCTTTCTTGTATCGTTAGATACAAAAGCGTTATTTGTAGAGATTGTATTTATAGGTAATATAAAATGCGGAGAAATCTTTGGAATTTCTCAATAATTTTTTGTGAACTTTTGTAACGTCATAAAGTTATTTGAAAGCACGAACTCACACGCTGATCTAATGAGGAGAAAGCTCGGATATGAATAATGTAATATATATCTTCAACGAAGATTTTTTTTTAAATAAGAAAGACTAAATACATCTGTTGTGTATATTCATAAATTGCATGGAACGTTTTTGCATTTCAACTGAAACGTAGATTCATCTGATGCATGGATTTTCTTCTCTCTCTGCCTCTTTGTTTTGCGTTCTTTTTCCGTTCACGTCCTTCGCGCTTTGTCATTCCGTTTTCCTTTTTACATTCTGCTTTTTCCATTTATTTAATATATTGTCTTTTACTTTTTGCGATCATCAAAAGCGAACTTGTTTCTCCAGATATAGATATCCTATCCTAGCATATTTTCTTATTTCTAAATTATATTTTTACTAATATTCTCTTTAAAGGCATTTTCATCCGGTGTTTATTTAATGTCAAAGTTAATCTCTGCATCTAATACGGATTGATGTAGCGCTTTCGTTATATCTCGTAATGAGGAGGATTGTTACGTCGGTCATAAATGACTGTTTATCTGAAGCGCGTCGGACAAGACTGAGCGCGTTTTCCGACTAAGAATAATTTATTTCTTACGCCTATCCGTCTCGAGATTTATCTGAAACGGAATGATTAGCTTTCGCCAATAAAAGAGCCGGTCACTCGTTCGACGAGTTACCGTTTCTCTCGGGCGACGCGACATTATCCAGTAGTAGTAATAACGAGAGTAATAACATTAATGTTAACTACCGAACGACAATTAGAGCCGTTTTCTAAACGTCTACTAACTCATAACCGCTATCGGCCGATCGGCCATTTCTACGTGTCTGTGGGCTAGGTTTAAATAATTCTCAAACTACCTTAGACATGCAATACGGAAAAAAAAGAAGGAGTTCCTCGTTAGCGAGATTAGATGCCTTCGAGTCTCGCTTAATTAACGATTTATCATTGCGACTCGAGTTTGATTGAAACGATTCTTTTTCGTACGGAGAGAACGGAGAGATATACGCGATAATAAAATTAGAAGAGGTCGCCGATTTTTCTGTTTCATTTGTTTTTTTTCTTTTTTTTTTTCTTTCTTTCATGGGGGAACATTTGCGGAACAGGCGGAACGAACGACGAGCCAAAGATAAAAGTGTGCAAACGAACGAATGAAGGTAGCTGATTTCCCTATAAGGACCCTACGTCTGTGAAACATAGTGCCTTTATATAGCCGTTCACTGTTACATTTAATTAGTGTTTAGAACGAGAGAGAGAGAGACAATTAGCGATTGTCACGCGTAAATCGGTAAATACAACTGTTGTTGATAAGTACTCCAAGCGCTTCATCGGCATCGGTATTACTGCTCGTCTTCAGAAAAAGAAAAAAAAAAAGAGAAACCCCTCTGCTCGTGTACACGTGTATCTTTTCTCCTTCCAGACTCGTTGATCCTCTCTCTTTCTCCCTCTTCTTTTTCTTCGTTCTAACTTAACCGATATATACCGGATGGACTGAACTTTAATATAAAAGAAATAAATAAAATAAAAAAAAAAAAAGAAAAAAGAAAGAAAGAGAGAAAAGATTTTGATGTATTTAGGCGAATTTCCGACTTTTCTGCCACGTCCTACGTTCTAGGGGTGCAACTCCACGCCCGTTAGAATGTAAAATAAATAAGAAGATAGTGCCTTACCACGAGATATTGTGCTTTTTGAAAGTTCAAATAGTCAGAGAGTAGAGAGAGAGAGACGCGCTTTTACAATGCGGACAGCTTAGGTTCTTTCTCGAACGCGGACGCACGCCTCAAATCGTAATCTCAGATAGGGACAAAGATATAAAATCCTTGACTATATTGATTATGTACAATTTTATTTGCCATGATGTAATTGTGTTAAGTGTCTAACGCGTATCTCCCATTCGTCGTAACGGCACAAGTTTCGAAGGTTCGTTTGATGTAGCCATGACGATGGTATCGTTGCGCGACGATCTATTTTTTT